AAAACCAGGTAATATACAATTTCCTAATTGCTCCCTGGCATCTCTGGCACATTGCTAGGTTTACAGGGGAGTCATACAAACACATTTAGGTGGAACAAGTTTAACCCTGTCTGCTTGGCCAAAAAAAAAAAAGAGATGATTATTAAAATCCATCTTTCTTCCAGCTGGCCTTTCTAAGTGGAAGCAGCTCTCCATACCAAGTATGTTCCTAGTGTTTAAAGATGTAGTATGATTTTTTTTTGAGCTGGTGGTCAAGTGAAGAATCTGATTTGTTCGAATGCTGGAGGACTATCTGGCGGTGTAGTTATTCCTGCGAACCAGCACTGTGTTTTGTCAGCTATTTAAGACTTTTGCAAAGGCAGGGTTTTTTTTACAAATATATTTATTTTATTTATTTATTTTTGGCTGCATTGGGTCTTTGTTGCTGTGCGTGGGCTTTCTCTAGTTACAGTGAGCTGGGGCCACTCTTCATTGTGGTGCACAGCCTTATCATTGCGGTGGCTTCTTTTGTTGCAGAGCACAGGCTCTAGGCGCTCAGACTTCAGTAGTTGTGGCTTGCGGGCTCTAGAGCGCAGGCTCAGTAGTTGTGGCGCACGGGCTTAGTTGCTCTGCAGCATGTGGGATCTTCCCGGACCAGGGCTCAAACCCATGTCCCCTTAATTGGCAAGCGGACTCTTCACCACTGCACCACCAGAGAAGCCCCTCAAAGGCAGTTTTGACAGAACTTAGTCTGTGCCTCATCAGTTGCTTCCAGATCCAAACTCCTGAGCAAGAATAGCCTCCCCAGGATGGCATGTGAATGTCAGTAGTGTTCCGAATGTTGGATTAGGCACAGGAACCAACCGATCAACTTCCAACTTGGGCAGTAGCTTCAGAGATTGCAGCACTTAAAGGAACAGGAAACCAGATGGAGAAAGTGTTCATACTCATAATTTTAAAAATGTCATTAGTCCAAAATGAAAATAGCATAATTACTTGGTTTTCTCCAATTATAAAAATAATTCATGCTTCCATAATGTCATACGTACAAAAAAAATCTAAACGAGTGTTAAAAAACACTGTGACTTTGGTGAATATCTTTGTGAAGTCATATGCATGCTGTCTTCCAACTTACTCTGCGTTAAACAATGGGTTTGGATCTCTTTCTATGTTATTTCCTCTCTGTGGAATGCTTTCCTGCCTTCTTTTTAACCCCCTCCCCCCTTTATGTAGCTAATGCCAGCTCATTCTTTCCGTCTCAGTTTAAGCATCATTTCTCAGGGTCGCCTTTCCTGATCCCTTGGATGGGTTTTCCCCTGTTGTATGTTTCCATAGCAACCTGAACTTCTTAGTAACTCTGAGCACATTTGTCATTGCTTGGTCACTGTCTTCCAAAAGTGTGAATAAGAGCAAGAATCATGTCTGCCTTGTTCACCACTGTCCCCAGGCACCTAGCAAAATGCGTGACACATAATAGATGTCCAGGAAATATTTGGTGAATGAATTGAATACTGATTTTGTGGTAGATTGTTAAACTAATGGTGCCCAATGAATCATGCCCCTCAGTAGCCATACCCCTGTGCAGTCCTTTTCTGCAGTGGTGCTGAGCTTGGCGATGTGACTTGCTTTGGCCAAGGGCACATCAGCATATGTGATTCACACAAAGATTTGATAAGTGCTGTGTCTTGGGGTTTGTTCTTTCGGAACACTACCACCACCACGTGAGGAAGCTCAGTGCTCCTTGAGAATAAAAAGACCACCTGGAGAGAGAGAAGTCCAACCTAGCCCCCAAAGGACTCAATAGTTGAATGCATCTACAAGAGGAAGCCCAGGCAACCCACAGAATTGGGTAGGGGGGAAAATCATTGTTCTAAGCCACTATGTTTGGGGGCTTAAATAATAATCAGTACAGCTCAACATCAAATTTTGGTAACTAGATAGTATTCCATTATGTGGCTATATGTTTAACAAATTTCCAGTGATGGATGTTTAGGTTATGTGCAACAGTTCTATGTAAATGATTTTGAACTAAGCATCATTTAAAGATCAGTCAGATGTGGCTGAGTTCACTAAAGAGACTGAGAAGGTACAGCCATGGAAACAGAAGAAAAATGGGAAGCCAGGGAAGAGTTTCAAGGAGGGAGTGAGCAGTAGTGTCAGATATAAAATCAAATCACATAAAAACTGGAAAGCATTTGTCAGATTTATTGACATGGTGACCTTGCTGACATTGGCGAAACCAGCGAAACATGGTAAAGTAGAACTAAGGTGTATTGGGTGAGAGGTGACAAAGTTGGAACAGTGAAAGTAGCTAAACGTCTTAGAGAAGTTTGACTTTAAAAGGGAAAATAGAGGGTGGTAGCGCGTGAAGATGTGGAGTCATCTTTTTTGAAAGATGCAAAAGACTTAAACAGGTTGGAGATTTTGAAGGTTCCAGACAGTGTGGGTGAATTGGATCCGGCACATGGGGGGATGGGATTGGCATTAGCTAGTTCCCCCCTTCCATTGCTCCAAGAGGGAGAGAGAAAAGGGTGGGTGAAGATGTAGTTGGGTTTCTACAATGTGTGGTGGGAAGCGGAAGCAGTCCCATTGATGGCTGCTGTTTGCTCTGAAGTATGCAGGAAGAGCTGCTGGGAGGGGAGGGCAGGGGAGGTGTGAGGAGGGAGGCTGGAGGGAGTGGAGAAGGTTGGAGACACCTGTCACAATGCATGGGGGAGAAAGCTGACTAACACATTCTGTTTTGTAAGCTATGGATCTTTGACTGGCAAGCTGCTTTGTAAATGAAAAGTACTGTCCAAATGTTAGCTGAAATTATTTTGAACTGTTGAACCAGGAGAAGTCTTCATTAAACACTTTCTCCATCTTCCCAATTTAGGTTTCAACGTGGAGACGGTAGAATATAAAAACATCAGCTTCACAGTCTGGGATGTTGGTGGCCAAGACAAAATCAGACCTTTGTGGCGACATTATTTCCAGAACACACAAGGTAAAGATTATCCAGTTCTAGCCTTGCAACCGTTTCTGTTAAACGCACCTAAAGGTCGATGCTTGAAGCAAAACCTTGTGGTGCGCTGCTTTATTTGAACTGTCAGTCATTCCTTCTTTTCTGCTGACCCACTTACACTTACTGGGGAGGTTTCTTTTTGAGAAGTGGTCCCTGCCTTCCTTGAAAAAGTACTTGGGCTTTAATGCCTTATATAGGAATCTCCTCTTAATCCAGAACAGTTAGAAAATGGTTGTTCTAATGAATTTCATCTTTTGGTTAATTGAAAGTTGTATGTGCCTTTGATGAAGTACCAGTTTTTGAAGAACTTGAATTCAGTGCACTCTTTTAAACCTGTGGAGAATATTTGAAAATCATCCCTATGGAGAGAAAGAAATGAACAGGGATGGCTGGAATCCCAAATCCTAGCATCCTGTGTGGCCACAGTGCCTCCCTACTGTGCTGTTATTCTACAAGTGCTTGAATAAGCATGAATATCCCAGATCATTACCTTATTTCCTTATCACTGGTTTCTTAAAATTTGGGGTTTTAACGTGTCCCAGTCCCCTATCAATCTATTTTAGTTTTTTTCATTGATTATATTTTGGATAAATGATACCTTACAGAGTATCACCTGTCAAGATATCTGTAAGCTGTTCATATAGTTTTTACACCCAGATTCTCACATAGAATCATAACCACCTGGCATCTACATACTCATTTTAGAATTTATTTGGACTCTTTTAATTTTGAAGATTCTACTACCTATGGTGTTTTCACTGCATGTGTTTCATAGTAAAGACCCATATTTGTTGATATTTTCAGACGAAATACCCGAGTCAACTGTCCCTTTATATTTTGTATCATTATTTTAGCTATTACCTTTAACACTTAACTCTATTTGTACTTATTTCCTTAGCCTATAGATTTAGAATGTCTTTCCTCAAAATAGTGCGTTTATCTTTTCTTTTTTCAGTTTTGTTAGTGAAAAATTTAAAGCAAAAAAAGAAGAGGATACTTAACAAATCCCCACGTACTCATCACCCAGCTTCAACAGTTATCAGCATTTTGCCCAGAGTGTGTTACAGCAAATGCCAGACATGATGTCTTTTACTCATACATCCTTCAGTGTTTATTTCAAACTGATAAAGACTTTTTTAAAACATAATCTCCATGCATTATCACACTTCCAAAATTAACATTCTTTCTTTAATATCTGGTACCCAGTCCTTATTCAGATTTTTCCAGTTGTATCAAATACGTCCTTTTCACGTTTGATTTGTTTGCGAAGGAATCAAAGTTTACACGTTGCCTTTCATTGTTATGTCTCTTTAGTCGTCTGCTACTCTCCAACAGTTTATCCCTCCATTTTTTTCTGTCATTCCATCTGAGTCTATTAAGCTGAAATCCTTCTAAACAAAGAATCCCTTCATCAAATATTTGCTTTCTCTGAAAAATATTTAATTCTTTCCCTTTTTTTCCCTTTATTGATTTTTAGAGAAACAACTCTAACAACCTTCCATGATGACTCTTAGATTTTTATGTCTTTGTGTTTCAATCCGTTGCAGACAATACGCTTTTTGATACTCAGAGTGCCCATTTACCCTGGATTGGCACTCGCCATATTGGTCAAACTATTGTAATTCCTCACCAGGAATAAAAGTAGAAAATGTGGGTTTGAACCACAGCTGTGCTATGAAACCTTGGGAAAGTTAGGTAATCTTTCCTGTCTCGATTTCCTCATCTATAAAATGGAGGTGAATACCTACTGTGCCAGATCATTTGGCTTGAATGAGATTAATTTTATAAAATGCTTAGTTCTGCGGTTGGAAGGTAGTGGGCACTCAGGAGCCTGTATTAGTCTGGGTTCTCCAGAAAAACAGAACCAGTATGATGGATGGCTATCCATACATGTTTGCACATATGTTTTTGTGTATATATATATATATATATATATGTGTGTGTGTGTGTGTGTGTGTGTATGTGATTTCTTATAAGGAATTGGCTTACATGGTTGTGGAGGCCGAGGAGTCCCGGGATCTGCAGTTGGCAGAGGCTGGGGACCCGGGAGAGCTGATGATTAAGTTCCAGTCCAAAGGCAGAAGACACATATCCCAGCTCCAAGACGAGTGAATTCTTTCGTCCTCTCTTTTGTTCTAATCAGGCCTTCATTGGATTGGACTGGAGCACACTGAGGAGTGCAATCTGCTGTACTCAGTGTCCTGATTCAAATGTTCATCTCATCCAGAAACACCCTCCCCCACACACCCAGAATACTGTTTGACCAAATGTCTGGGCACCCTGTGGCCCAGTCAAGTTGACACATAAAATTAACTGTCTCAGAGTCCAAATTACTAGAGCTTTTTTGTCCTCATTCTCAGGCAGGGTTCCCTTTACCCACCTTATTAAGAGTTGTCACACTCAGTCACCAAGTAGAAATGCCTGTTTATTTTCAATCTTCTATTTATAACAAGCCTAATTTTTTTTTTTTTTTTTTTTTTGCTGTCCCCGAAAATTGCATAATACTAAAGTGCTGCCCACATTTTTCTGTGGATGTATATTTCCCTGGGCTTGTGGTCATAATTAATGTGGATTAGAAGGATTACTACATTTCTCTTCTCCATGCCCCTTCCTACGCCAAAGGGAAGGTGATTTTTATTTCAGATAAATTCATATTTTTTCCTTTCATTTTTATTTTATTAATTGGCCTACAATATTAGGTTCAGGTTACTACATAGTGATTCAATATTTTTGTGCATTATAAAATGATCACCATGACCCTCTAGGTCCGTCCTATTGCTGCAAATGGCAAGATTCTTTTTTATTTAATGGCTGAGTAATATTTCTTCCTTTTACTCTTCACATATTAGAAAATCCTGTTGACTTCTCTCCAAACTATATTCAAAATTGACCACATCTCCAGCACTTTCCCTCCAGTCCCCTGGACCTCAGCAAAGCTGCCTAAATGAGCTCCTTTTCACTCCATTGACCCTTTAAGGTCTTCCTCACAAAGGAGTCAGAGTGATCCAGTTAAAATGTGAGTTATATTACATCAAAGGAGTCCTATAACAAGCCTAATTTTATTGAGTTTCAGTAACTACTGCTGTGATAGTGGAGAACTAACTGGCTATATTCTAGGACCTTGTGGGTGGTTTAGACTCTTCATGAAATTAGCAAATGGGGACTTCTGAGGAATGGATTTGCTGTCTGGTGGGTCCAAACATTTCAGCCATTAGTAACCTTGGATGTTGCCCTGTTTTTCCTGCCAACTGTCCAACAGTCAGGCTGTCCTTTTTAATTTGAATTTTCTTCTCCCCACTTCTAAAAACAAATTACAGCATACTATTCATTTGTAAATTTACCTTTTCTAGGTTTTCTTAGTTCAGAAGTGTAGTTAGTGTGATGGCTAGATTCTTTTGTTTCTCACATAAGGATCTAAATAAAAACAGTATAAAATGGGACCTAATATTTATAAACCTTTCTTTCTATCAGGAATGGCAAAGGGATAATGTCAGCTTCCACCCTGTCAGTTTTGCATTGGAGACTAAGGATCTCCTCAAATTTCAGGATAACCTCGTTTGCTTAGTTATGATCAGAGCCCAGAACTTACTGGCAGCCTATCAAATCTTTGGCGGGGAGTGTTTTGAATGTTCTTCATTTTTTTGGTCTGATGTGATGTAACAGACATGACTTCGAGTCTCATGTAAGCCCCAGACATTCAGAAGCTGTGGGCACTCCAGTCTGCCAGAGTGGACTGCTGCAGACAGCTGGTCAGGCAGCCGTTGGGTGGGCCTGGGAAGCACAGAGGGAAAGGGCCGAGGGCCAGCACAGATTTTCCCTCCTAGACATGGTGGTGCGATCTCAGTGTCAGAAGGAACCCAGAGGTCATCTCATTCCACTGCCCTTCCCGTCAGCAGAATCCCTTCTGCAGTGTCCCCACAAGTTGCCGCTTAAGCTGGGCACAAGCATCTTCAGTGACAGGCACGCCTCCTGAGGCAGCCCATTGCACCTGCATTTCTCTTGATTCTTTATCACCTTGACCTCCTGTAGTTTTACCCACTGATCTTCCATCTACTTACAAGTCAAACCTCTCTTTATGTCACAGCTTCTAGATATTTGAAGACAGCTGTCAGTCCCCTCAATGAATCTTTTCTCTAGGCAAAATATTTCCAGTTATATAAATTTGTTTTTCATATGACATGGTATCTTATTCCTTTGCCGTCCTAGTCATTCTTTGTCCCTCCAGTTCGCTGTGTCTTAGAGTGTGGGGTCCAGCACCAACCATGTAACATTCCCAGGATGTTCTGACTGACGCACTGTAGCATCGGCTTTTTGTTGCCCGTATTTTAGGAACTGAGCTGCTGTCACTACTGTTGATACAGCCTAGGATCAAGTTAGTTCTTTTGGCAGCCACTTCCCATTTTTGTCTCACAGAAGGCTTATTGTCAGCTAACCATCCAGTTGTTATTACCATTAATGTCACGTGGACTACTGTTAAGAGTCTTTTGCATCCTGTGTCTGGAGTGTGTGCTGGATCCCTCCTGGGCACCTCCTCTGAGATCCTGTTGGCCCTGCCTCCAGCCAATGTGGCAGTGACCAGATCTGTGCAGGTTTCAGCTACCTTTGCTCACATACAGTGTGGTGGTCCCTTTCTCTGACCTGTCTTTTGCTTCCTGGGATTTCTCTGCTGCTGTATAGTGTGGGTTGCTGGGAAGACTTATGACACCAACTACCTGGGGTTGGGCCATACATCACAGGTTAAGGGCACAAGACTCCCTCACTTCAGACACCAGCTGGAAATTCGGGGCTCCCCAGACCACCCTCACTTTTTTCCAGCTGTCTGCAAATTTGGCAGTTCCAAATATCCCCTCAGGTTCAATATTCATTAAAACAACTCACAGGACTCAGGGGAGCGCTATACCTACAATTACAGTTCTGTTATAGCAAAAGGATACAAATGAACCAGCCAAAGGAAGAGATGCATAGGGCGAGATCTGGGAGGTACCACACACAAAGTTTGCATCGTCCTCTTCCCATGGGGTTAGAATGCATTACCCTTCTGGCACATCGCTGTGTGACATACATAGAACATTACCAACCAGGGAAGCTTATCTGAACTTGGATGTCCATAGTTTATTGGGTCTTCATCATGTAGGCATGATGTAGAAATGAAGTGATTAAAAATAAGCCTAACCTTTTCTCTCTCTATTCTTGTTATTGTTAATCTGGTGAAGGGCTATGATGCCTCTGAAAAAGGCTAGTTGGGTGTACAGGAGGCTTCCCAGCTCTAAAGATTATATATCCTTCTGTATTGATTGCTTTCAGTAAAACCACATATGTAAGCAGGGAGACGCTGTAAGGACATAAACAGCTGCCTTCCCAGGTTCAGATTACTAACACACTTGTGCTTTCTTTCTAGGTCTGATTTTTGTGGTCGACAGTAATGACAGAGAGCGGGTCAATGAAGCCCGAGAAGAACTAACCAGAATGTTAGCCGAAGATGAGCTCAGAGATGCAGTTTTATTGGTGTTTGTAAATAAACAGGTATGTCGCTGGCTTTCTGAATCCTGGGATTGAAAAGTACTGCCAGCCGCTCACTTAAAAATAGAGGTATTTAATTAGCTGCCTGCCTTCCTCTCTCCTGTCCTTAGCCTTTCTCTCCACCTCTTTGTTAGCATGTCTTAGATTCATTCACTCGCTCAACAAATATCAACTGAGCATGTACTAAGATCTAGGCATTGTTTTAGGTATTGGTGATATAGATATAGCAGTAAACCAGACAGACAAAAATCCCTGTGTTCATGGAGTTTAGGTTCTAGTGGGAGGAGAGTCAGTCAACAAACCACAGGTAATATGTCTGGGGGGAGTGTCGTGGAGGAGGGGGCAGATGCGGGGAAGGACTAGAATGCCTCTCTGATAAGATGACATCTGGTAAGATGACACCTGAAGGCTGGCAGGAAGGCAGCCAGTGCAGCTGGGACGGGATTGGGGGTGGGGGGAAGCAAAGGAGGAGATGAGATTGGGTCATCGGGGCCTATCCTTGGGGAAACTCGGCTTCTGTGAAAATATAACCAAAAGCAGTAGAAGAGGAGTAGGAGGAGGGTGTAGAAACATCCAGCCTCAGGAAGCTGAACTAAGCGTGGAAAAGAAGGCAGAATCCTGTGGAATGTACCAGCCTGAGATAAACCAGGGGCACGTTTTGATGTGTGTCCCCACAGTTTCTCCTCAATGAGTACATTTGTTATGTAATCGAGATCGTACTGTTTTGACGTGTTGCATCCTGTTTTGTCACTTTATTGAAGGCATTTTCTCTTGTCATCTAGCCCTTTGTAAATATGGTTTTAAATGGTGGGTGGATCATCATTCACTCGGCCATTAGATTCGATGTCAGTTTGAAGTTCACTAGTGAACACAACGGACTTTCATAAAAGAAAATGACATTTGTTCTTTTTAATTATAAAAGCAGAAAATGCTCATGGTATAAATATGCAGACAGTTCACAATATCAAGTAAAACATTCTAGCCCCACTCTTCAGGGTAAAACATTGTTAAATGTCTTATATTTCTTTCCAGAGATAAAACTTTCTGTGCCTATATGAGCAGTTATATGATTGTATTCATATTTAAATTCTGGAGATCATATTCTGCATTCTGTTTTTTTTTTTCATAACTTTTTTTCCCCCCAAATGTATTTATTTATTTATTTATGGCTGTGTTGGGTCTTCGTTTCTGTGCATGGGCTTTCTCTAGTTGTGGCAAGCGGGGGTCACTCTTCATCGTGGTGCGCAGGCCTCTCACTATCGCGGCCTCTGTTGTTGCGGAGCACAGGCTCCAGATGCGCAGGCTCAGTAATTATGGCTCACGGGCACAGTTGCTCCATGGCATGTGGGATCTTCCCAGACCAGGGCTCGAACCCATGTCCTCCTGCATTGGCAGGCAGATTCTCAACCACTGCGCCACCAGGGAAGCCCTCTGCATTCTGTTTTGTAACCTGCTTCTTCACTTAGCATATCTTTGATGTCCTTCCAAATCATTGCATCTAGATCTACCTTGTTCTTTAATGCTAATTTATTCAAATTTGGTTTGAGCTTACTACGTGCTAGGCGTAGTTCTAGACACTTGGAACACATCGGAGAACAAGATAGAGATTCCTGCCCTGGTAAAGTTTGCATTCTGGTTACGAGAGGCAGATAATAAACACACTAAGTAAGTCAATTTTATAATATAGTAACTTGTGGTGAGGGCTGTAGGTAGAGCAGGACAGTTAGGAGGCGTCACGGGGGCTCAGGTCACGAAGGCCTTGCAGAGCATCCTGAGGACTCGGGCTGTTACCCCCAGAGAGACGGAGATGTCACAGGGTTTTGATAGAAGAATGACTTTCACTGACTTTCACTGACTGCCGGGTTGTGTTTAGACTTTCTGGGAGCAAGAGCAGAAGCTTGGAGACCAGTTTGGAAGTAATTTCAGTAAAACCCAAGTGAGAAGTGATGGTGGTGGGATCCGGGTATAGCTGTGCAGGTGGTGAGAAGTGGCCAGATTCTGGATATATTTTGAGGGTAGAGCTGGTGGGATTTCCTCGTGTGGAGTTTGTGAGAGGAGAGAGAGAGAAAAAAAAAAAATTAAGGATGATTTCAAGGTTTGGAGCCTGAGCCACTGGAAGGCTAGAGATAAGACTGTGGGTTAAGGGCAGATGTTGGGGGAAGAGCATAATGTTCCATTATGAGGGTATAACATTTGTCAACTGACTTTTGAATATTCTCTCTCAAGGATCTTCCCAATGCTATGAACGCAGCAGAGATAACGGACAAGCTTGGCTTACATTCCCTCCGCCAGAGAAACTGGTACATTCAGGCTACTTGTGCCACCAGTGGAGATGGGCTTTACGAAGGCCTGGATTGGCTCTCCAACCAGCTCAAAACCCAGAAGTGACGGGCAGCACTGCGTTCCCTGTGCGTCGTGGCAAAGTCAGCTGGCCTCTGCTGTGTGCATGTGTGCGTGTGAGGAGCTGAGTGTTGGCGCGTGGCCGGGCGTGGGAGCAGCTTTCCCACATGGTGCCTTATACGCCCTCTAAGGAAACCAGTCCTACATGGTGCAAACAACCAGTGTTACATTTTATATGCCACCTTCCATTTCCATAGCTTTGGTGACCAGTTTTGCAGTCGATGGAGGAGTCCCGAGGGCTCCCTGGTGCCCGATAGCCAGAGTGGTCTTCGTGGTGGGAAGAAGGTGGAGGGTGGGCCCTGGACTGACTTCCTTTGTGTGGTTCTAGTCCAGGTCTGGGCTCTCTGCACACCTGGGGGTCCTGTTAGACTTGGCATCCTTTCGTAAAAAGGAAGGAACTGTCATTCTTTCCCATCACTGCCAGAGCTAGCAGCTCACTTTTCAGTGCTTTAAAGCAAATGATCCTCAAAGACAAAAAGGCCCTTGCTTACCGCAGATGTCAAGTTGTTAAGATGTTAAGATGCAGATGTTAGGTTGTTAAGATGTTAAGATGTTAAGATCTGAGCTGAAGTTATTTTCCAGCCCAGACACCCTGGTTTAATGTACTTCATTGGGAGGAATCAGTGATCTTTTTCATTAGAAAAACCCCCTGTAACACTAGACCCCATAACAGTAGAAATCATCTAGTCCTGCCCTTCCTTGCCTCGTATTTGCCAAATGGAGACCCTTTTGGGGTGGGAACCCAGCGCATGGCCAAGGCCCTTGCTCTCAGGGCCGGTTTAAGGAGGGGAGGCGCCGTTGTATTTGTGTCCCTGCGTGGCTGTGTCCTGAGGCTGCTGCCGCCACGCCTCTGCGCTGAGTGTTCTCTGCTCAAAGTGCTCCCTGGCTGGAATCGTCACTGTGTACAGTATCTTAGCCCAACTTGCAGTTTAGGTTAGCTGTGTTCCCAGAACCACACACCTGTGAGTTCTGAGAGTTTGTGAGAGAATCAAGAGGTTCCAGCAGCCGAGTTGGTTGGTGCTAAATTTCGCTATGAAGAATGTCTCGTCCAGACCACTCTCCGTGGCACTGACTCCCTCTTCTGGTTGGCAGTGACGTCTTCCGTGGAAACGTGCTTTATGTTATCCTCAGAATAGTAACAATGGCCTGGAAATGAGCTGGATTCACTCAATAGTCTAGAGCTCTTTTGCCCAGACACCTGTTGGCCACATTTGTACCTAAGCTGTTCCACTACTACCTTTTAAAATTCCTTTTTCAAAAAAAATCTTCATTTCAGATTACAGAGGAGGAGAATGTAAGATGAATTTTAACAGAAGTAAACCTTGTTTACTGATAACAATGAAGTTGCTCTTACTAGGAAGAAATTTCATGCCATGGTAAATGTGGAGTTTTTTCCTTAAAATGTTGACTTTAAAGAATGTTCCTTGCAATACTGGCAATGAAGTCCAGATCTGATTTTTAACCATGGAGTTAAGTCCTGAGAAAGATTTAGATTGTACGCCTCAAATTGGCAGGGACTGTGTTTTAGACTTTTGTGTTTATGCTTACTACCGTGTATGTGGTACGGTGCTGTGCCTCATTAAACACTTGTTGATTGGTTGGACAGTAAAGAACTTGCTCTGGAGGAGGAGAGGACAGCCGTGTGCTTCTGGATGTCTCGAGCTACTACTTTAAAATCCCTTTCCCTCTCCATCTTAGCAGACTTGCTCTTGAAAACTCCCAGGGCACTTGGTACAAAAGGCAGAGCCCGCAGAGGTGCTGTCTCGGCCCTTCTGCTTTCAGCAGTGCTCCCCATTCTTACCTTACATGACACTTTCAACTACTGTCTTTCTCTTTCTGTGAATTTGGAGCTGGTCATTTGGGGTTTATAGGCGGGGGGCACTTCAATGTACTGGGTTTGAGCAAATACTTGGGTCCCTGAAAGCCATGTTCACATCCCAGCTGTGTCCTCACTAGCTGCTTGGCCTCAGGCCTGTTACTCTTTGACTTCATATCTCTGAGCCTCAGTTTGCTTAACTGTTAAATGAGGATAATACCTACCTCATAGGGTTTTGAGACCTTTGTATGCCTTGCCTGGTGTTTCCCTGGGGATATCTTGATGTCTAAGGTGTGAAAAGCAGTGCTGGCCACAAACTGATCAGTATTATTTACAGGAACAGTGAAGTGGGATGGGATGGGGGGCTATGTTTAATCTTTCCCACTCTATTCACCTCATCCTGCTGA